AGTCTCTGGCTGGCTTGTATTGTTTTCACATTCCAACGCACTTTGATCTGTGTCCCAGGTCTAGACTCGAAGAAGGTCAGAGGGGGGGTGACGCTCCTTTTCAGTTTGCTTTGCCTTATGATCTTCGCGGTGATACTCGGCTTTTTATCGAAGCTTGGTAGCATTTCGGATTTGCTCCCGTCATGGATTGACTTGAGGTACGGTAGTTTGAAGGGTCTAAGCATTGGCGCACTCATACCGGCAATTTTCACGGTAATGACAAGTACAGCGATTCTTCGTTGGGGCTGAGGAATTCTCCCCACTTGTGATAGACAGTTATAGAATTATGGAGTATCCAAAAGTGCGAACGACAAGATTAATTCTGTTGAACTGCCTTGGTGTCAAAGCTCTATCTAGCCAGGTGAACTCAAAGACATTTGGCTTCTAGAGTCATAATACAGCTTCGGCTTCGGATCTCTTTAGGCTCACCCGCTTCCCTCGGACAGCGTTATCGCTTGGCGACATCGCAGGAAATGATTTTCGCATCATTAATCATCTCTTTGAACAGTACAAGCTTCTCGTCCAAAAACCTTTGGCGCCGCAGTGGTCTGAGAGAATCAAGCCACCAGTGTGGAAACACCCGTGCTCTACTGAAGTCAACGAGTTTTCCATCCAGGTAATTCCTTGCATATATTTCCTCAGTCCGTGGCACGTAAAGGCTCAATGATCCCTTCATCGTTTATGGAGCCAATCCACGGACATAGCCGGTAGTACCCTCACGCTCAACTCTCTCATCGGTGCGACCGCCCGGTCTACACGAACAAACATTACCATAATAGCAGTGAGGTAGCGGCCAGAGTAGTTTCTAGGTAGAAGACTGCTTTAAAGCTCTGGAGCTCTCCTTCAGGCTGCTTCCTGACCGACACGATACTTGCACATCCTAGGAAAAGCGCAGCGCCGAGGTGAACCAGGCTTCCACTTATTGCTCCAGCAGCCCCTTGATGTTGAATCGGGACATGGGTTGTCAACTATATGGATTAGGCTAGGCTCTAGGCGGGAGGGATAAAGACCTAACCATCGCAAAGAAAGCGTAGTGCCAGTAGCTGGCTCCTGGGGTAGCAAGTATGAGTAATAGAGGAGCGAGGACGTAGGCAATACCAGCAACAACCATAACATAGCTCCCTGGAACAAGATGTAGAACACGACCGCCAAGTAGTGAAATGAATATACCACCAAGCGCCATTGGGACGAACCATACGACAAGTTGCAACGGTGATGCATCCATAATCTTCGCCAAACTATACCAGTCAACCAGCACATTCCCATGGTCTTAGATACTGGAGCAATTGGGATGTTGAGGTACGATAAGAGAAATCCATGAGAATCAAAACACTAACCTCCTTTTAACCAAAAGTTACAAAAACAATGATATTAACAAGCCAGCACTACACGTAGGTGTAAGCCCTCCGTTAGAGGCGTAAGATAAATCACGCGCGACTAGGCTTGCTGGCGCGTGTAGGCCCAGAGGGCAGCAGCTGCGTGCCTGCGTTATGATCTTTTCTATGCTTGTGAGAGACGCTAATGGGAGCACACGATAGCTATATAGCCTTTGGCTCTATAGTTTGAAAGATAAAACCAATTTTTATTATTATGGGCGAATCGAACTTTTGACAACTTACCCGGCCTCTCGCGCTCTCCATGGTGGTCTCTCCCGCTGGCAGCAGGCTCTGGAGCGATATTTCCGCCATTATGTACAAGATCGGTTTGCTATCTTCCTGTTCCACTGTACTGCATATGTGACTGCTGCGACGATGCCGTGTGAATGAATTTAAGATCGTGTAAGACATGCAATTCCAACGGAATTATAAAAAGATGCAATGTTTTGTTTATAAATTTAGTATTCCACAATGTAAATTTCAAAGCTAACTATAACGACCTGCGCCTAGTATTAAAGACAGGCTAATTTTAATCCTAAAAATCTTCATCTATATCTCAATTACAACTAGAGAAGTCTTTCCATAGAAGACAGCCACACTAGTACTGACCGTGTCTCGGGCAGGTAGCTAGCCTGATTTTACGGTGTAGATGAGAATTCCTAATTAGTACATCTTAGCTGTTTGACGTGTGTCGAGTTTGTAGATGACCAAGATCAGACAATCCTTGTGGACTTGCTTCAGATTGGACGTTTTGCCGAACGATGATAGCCCGGCATAAATGTCGCTTCAACGGCAGAGCAGTCCTTGGCCATTACCGTCGTTATACGACGATCTGACTAGGAGGGGAAAGTGTGGAGCTCTCATGATACATCGAGCCCCCACGTCTATGAATTCGAAGAAAGCAAAATCTTCCATTTGAGATCCCGAGAGCCATGTCGAAAAAGTGATAAACGTTTGCCGGTGCATTATCCACATGCAGATATCTCCCGTCAATATAACCGTACAGTGCGCCTTAGAACCCGAAGAAGGAACAAAAGAAAGTTCTTACGCGCAGCGGAGTGTGGAATATATTGTGATTCTGGGAGACTGAGACCAAACCCAGCCGGGTCTGATCAAGCCGAATTGCCAGTCGATGTGTTTCCGTTCAGAAATGGTCAATGCGATATGTCCCATCAAGATATGTATTATGCAATCAGTATGCGTCATTGTTGTCGCGTTCCCATGAGCCATCTATCTAGACATGTGTGAAGTGGCCACTTTCTAATGTCACCTTTGTCGTGACGTTGGTGGAATGGAGCCTCGAGCAGTCGAGCCGGTCGAGCCTCGCGGCTGGTCCTCAATCAAGTCCAGACATGCCGTGAGCACTAATTCGAATTAGAGACAGTCGGCTTTCGCAGTAGCTGAAAGTTGGGCAACTCACTTGAGATTATCTCTTCTTCCCAGACGCCCATCTGATAGTCTACCAAGCCAGGCTTTTCCATCAGATCACAAAGCCTCACTAGCTCCCGACCAAGATTCTCCAGCTGATCATACCCCATCAAAGTCTGAGTTGGACGTGGTCGTTGGCCGGATTCAAGACTCTCCTCCGTGATTTCTTTTTGTCTTTGAAGAGCTGTGAGCCAGCAATGATTGAAATCCTCCCACAGATTCAGTCGTTCAGCGTGCATACTTTGCTCGTCGCGTACTAGACCTATTGTCAATCTCAGTTCCGACTATACCTGAAACATTAGAGACGAACTCACCTAGCCTGTGACTGCTAGAAACGGCGGTTTCTCAGGGTCTCTGGCTCCCCCGCTTGCCGCTGCGCGTCCGAGCCCATCGCTCCTCCTCCTTCATGCTGTCTTTCTGCACTCACACAGCTAACGTGATAGCACAGTGTATGCTCTCTCCAGCAGAATGCTAGCATGGACCGGGCAAGTCAAGTGCTATCCGAAGGTCTTCCTAACGTGCCTAGAACGTATACTGCTCTGGCTGAGCATGGCAAAGTCTCTCCTAGTCTCCAGTATCGCGTAATAGGGAGACGCTCGATGGAACAGAGAGCCTGTAGCCAGCAGTAGCTCCACACGTTCGAAAAGAAAGCACCGGTGTATTTACTAAGTTACTAAATATTTCTGATCTAGGTAGTCCGGCGCGAATCAAGTTCTTGCCATCGCTCACCTTCAGTATTGCTTGCCCTTCAGCCGGACACCGCGAACCGACCCATGAATTGTAAGGATATCTGCATGGTCCGTGCATTGGCCTAACCAAGTTAATGCACGTGAGCGCGAAACTTCAGCAGCACTAGGGTTGTGGCGCGGGTGATGCGCGAGGTCATGCAGGAGCGACTGGTGGAGAATGATGCACAGGGCGTATAGCAACCGCATGCAATACTTGTCGAACAGTCTAATCACACTCTGTAGGAAATGGACACAGCCGTAGTGCAGAGTCGTTTACAATTCCCCTTTAGTTCGCACTAAGTGCCGCTAGAACGAACGGAAAAGACTGCAAAGTAGCCATTCGGCCACTCGGGATATCGTCATCGGCCACACGTACTTGCCAGAACCCTGAAGTCAAGTCCTCTTGCTAAACACTGTTGACTGGCCGAAGGCACGTAGGCACTCGTCTATACGCTGTAGGTACAAGAAGTCCTGGGCTACCCCAGGCGAAGTTTTAGAATAAGATTGATTGCTACTACTAAGAGCATAGGAGGAAGTGCTCAGCAGAATCATGGCTCAGCAGAATCATGGCTCAGCAAAATCATGGCTCAGCAAAATCATGGCTCAGCAAAAGTTCCTCCTCTGACAGACAGTCTTCTAGTAGATAGCGACATTAAGCCGGAATGCGAGTACACGTTAATGTAGCGTCACTACCATACTGCGCCGTACATGTGCAGGTGTTAAGACGGACGACTTGGTTAACCTATAAAGCCTTCGGTCTACTGTACAGTACCCGCAGGTGTTATGTATACAACACCTGCTAAGCACTCATTACTTTCGACATGGCCGGACTTGCTTGGACAGAGGAAGAAAATGCTTGGCTAATCATAATGTTAGAGAAGAATCCGAGCATAAGTTGGGGGGAGCTTGTAAAGTTGTATAACGAAAAGTTCCCCAACCGCCCTCGCAGCGAAGACGCAATTAGGAACAGATACTTCCGTCTTACAAAGAAATGAGATAGCTGCCGCCTTGCCTGCAGAAGCAGTAAGTAAGCTATCGCCATATCTCTAGGTTATGAGTCTACTTTAACAAAGCTAGAGACATATGCTGTCAATCAATCTCCGCTATAAGCTTTAGTTAGATGCACCCAAGGCACCATGGAACAATGTATGGGATGGTCAGTAGACCCAAGGCAGCCTACTAGCTTGTTAGATAGATTGTAGAGAGACTGCGTCGGGATATAGGTGGCATTCTTCTCGATTTGCGCTATCATTATGTTAGAACATGGATTTCTCCAAAGCCATTTGGCCGACTCGTCTAAACTCCTACTGGAATTCTCTGAATCACGCTAGCTAAGACATGTGTAATATCGGCTCTAGTGATCATCACGGTCATCATGTTGAAATCAGTCGAAATCAGTACACATACCGCGGTAATCATGGTTACGAATGAAGAATAGTGTGATATTCAGCACCCCTATCGATAAGCCGATGGATGTCACATTTCATTTCCTATTATGCGCATGATGTGATTGTTACGCGGAACACGCCTAGTCGAATGAGCGGGATAGCGCAAGAAATGCGAGTGAAGGTGTCAAGGCTGTAACTAGCGCCTCCTGGGTAATTAGCTCCCACGGCTCCTTTACATCTCTAGCTTCGCGTGACTTTACCCGCCATGGCGGCACCGTGGTAACGAGGACGGTGGAGGATCATCTAGTCGTCTGTCTTTGCCCTCCACGCTCGCTGCAACACCACAAAAAACTCATTGAGTATCAATGACTTCCACTTTGTTATGGGGCTTGGACTTCTAGGGCCTAAATCGCTGCCCTTGAGATTCTACTTTGTTCTGCCCGCGTGGCGCTACCCTATGACCTCGTTTGAATATTAAGCCGCCTTACGCAGTGAGCATCCAGCTCCACCACCCATGTTGAATGCATGGCAAGAATGGATTATTTTCTTTTAGACTCTTAAGGCATGAGACTATCTCAGGCTCGATGGTGCCCCTAACTCTACCACTCCTGGACTGAGCTTGTAATAGCTCTCTTGCCTACTTCGGGATATTTAGCCGCAAAAAAGTTTAAAGACTGCGCGACGGCTAAGATGGAAGGAGCCGCATGACGGGCGCTAGTCGTAGCCTTACGAGCTGTGACACGGTAATTAGTCTGCATTCACGAGCGGTTTCTCCGACAGTCCGACTGCAATTTCTAGCTTATTAATGGCCATTCGCTCGTCTAATCTATGCAAGAAAGAAGATATGTGGGGTATACCGCATCGTTCAAGTGTCGTGTAACGTTATCTCTGATGCATT